CTGGAGACTGAACGAGGCACTAGATGAAAAGTGACCTAGGGGTGGTGGTGTGAAGCTGTTAAGTTCAGTGATACTATTCACTATTTTCACACATATGAAAATCACCAGGAAAAGTGGATTAGTCTGTTCGCATTTATGATTTCCATTCTCAAACATTTAACAGCACTTGGTAAGGCTGGGACTCCTCTGGTCAGTCAGTTCTCTCTCCCATTACTTTACGTGGCTATTCTGAACCTGTTTTCAAACACTATTTAATTGAACTGCCTGCGGTCTCATAAAGTCTCCTTCCCTTCCACTTCCTCTATAAAATAGAGGCCATTAGGTGGCTGTTCCTCCTATATATTTCATTCCCTCCCAGTCTCTTTTCTTAGAGGAAGAGATGTTTCTCTTCCTGTTCAAACCAAGCTTCCACTTACTCCCTCTACTCTTAATCCCATGTCCTCAGACACCTCAACATCCTGGCTCATTTAGGACCTTTCTGTTCCTCCTTTCGACCTCAGCTCTTCTAAAGGCTCATCTTCTTTCACTTGCAAATACAGTCACACACCCCTCATTCTTGTCCCTGTCTCTCTACTTCCCTCCCTATCTCCTTCCATCCTCAGCCATATTCTTGAAAGTGTAATCTTCAACCAAAGCTTCTCAAACATCAATGTCCACAAGAGTCACCTGAGGATCTTGTTAAAACGAAGATTCTAATTCCATGATCTGGTGTTGGGCCTGAGATTCTGCATTTCTAACTGGTCTCTGGCCTATAATGCTGTTCGAGAAGTCATTGTAAATAGCAAGGATCTATTTAATTCTCCTCATGTCCTTACCTTCCATTTATACAGAGCCCTCTTGTCACCTGGATTCTAACCCCTATGTCAAAAAAATGCTGCCTCATAAAATTCACCAATTCGCCCTTAAATGCCAAATCCAGTGAACACTACAATCATAACACCTCCGCCCTCTGTGGTGAGTTATGCCTTCCTGGTTCTTCATGCCGTCTACCATGATGTCATTCCCTCCAGTTTTCCTCTTGTCCATCTGGCCACAATTTCTCATCTCTTTTTTGAATTCTCCTTGTTTACCTGCTCCTTAAAATTCTTACATTTTTCACTGAGATCTATTTCACTACATACTCTCTCATCTAGTAATTTTAATTTCTGCCTAGATACGATAGGGTCTAAAATCTTTCACTTTAGTCCTGCTTGAGTTCAGACTCATATACTCAATTGCCAAACTTGAATCACAAGCACCACAAATTCAATATGTAAAACCTAACTCTTTAGCCACTTCTCAAAACCCGTGTTCCCAATTTTGGACATCTGCACCATCTTCTAGCTAATTAACCAAGACAAGGAGTGACCTTGATCTCATCCCCTACCTTCCACCCAATCATTAAGTTCTTCTAATTTTTTTTCCTTAATATCTTTCAAAATCCATCTTCTCCAGTCCATTCCTCCTGTCATTGCTGCACAGAACAGGTCCTCACCCTAACGGGCTTCTTAATAGCATCCTCACTGATCCAAACTTCTCCAGCCTCACTCCCTTCCAAAGCATCTACTAATTACAGCAAGGATAGTCTTCCTTCCTTGAACAAGAAAAGAAAGCCTAAGTTTAGGAACATGACCTAAAGGCTTTCATTATTGGGTCCTATCTCCAGCCTCATCTCCTGCTGCCCCTCCCTCAAATAAACTTTACAGTTCATTCGTAGTGAATGACTTAGAGGTCCCCATAACTCCATGCTTTCTGACATTTTTATGCTTTTGCAGTTCCCTTTCTGTCTCTTTATAAACTACCAATAAACTTTCAAAATAAAGCTCCGATGCCATCTTCTATGAAATGGAGGATGTAAATTGAGGGAAGCCTACATGTTTCTTTTAACTTTAAAAACATGAATATATAAAATTTACTATTGAGTATGATTACTCATTGTATACACATTATTATGTACACAACTGTACACAACACAACTTTCAGCAGAATTAATCACTTGTCTCAGTATTCCCATTGCAGCTTAAACATATTTATGTTAATTCTATTTATAAATGTCTCCTTGCTTTTCTCACTAATTGTGAATTTCCTTATACCTTACTAATCGGTATCCCTAGGAGCTTCTTAATGCTTCATCTGGATACTAGTCATTGTTCAATATAGTTGTTAAACATAATTCACACTCTGCCATTAAATAAAGTTAAAAAATAATTTCCCAAAGGAAGAGCTTATGTGACTATAATCCAGCATCTCATTATGGCTATAATACTATACCTTTCTCCCAAATGGAAAAATTTATTTAGAGACTTAATGATTTTCTTCTCTAACCTTTTATATCACTATTTTGGTGTTTAGACATTGTATTAAAGTGCACATAAATGAATATTACTTGCTTATCACATTTTATTTTAAATCCATTTTTAACTTACAATGGTTTAATACTTTTTAAAAATTTATTGTGGTTTCTTACAGCATATTTAGGATGTAGATGCATATTTTTTTTAAAAAATCAATTTATATAGGAGAAACTTAGGTAGAGCATTCACAATTCAGTGGGATAACGAGCTGATAGTGGTACTCTCCTAGCTCCAGTCATCACAACTCCACTAAGTGCCAAGACAGAGCTCATGAATGAGCAGGAGGCATACTGGTCTCATGGGTAGATGAATAGGATCTTGCTTGTAAAAGATGATATCAGAAGTCATTCTCCTCTCCACCAAAACAAAATATCCTTTCACATTTTGGTGAGAGTTAATATGTCCAAGTTTGGGATTGTTTTTCCTGGGTTAAAAGGCAAAACCCTAGGAATTAGTAAATCTTAACCATTATCTGTCATTTGGGATGAGTCTATTGATTTCTTTCTTGAAAAAAATGCAAGAGATATAATAACTTATTTAGTGTCAGTATTTCCTAGAAATCCTTTAATTATGTTAACTATCATAACCTCAATGGCTCATATAAATTAAGTAATCAATAAAGTAATGATCAGAGAATACATAAGAAAAGATTGACCTTGAGTTAGAAGAAAATACTTTTATCAAAAGATCCAAATCCATTTTAAAAAGGCTTCAAATGAACCTTAAATCCTAAAACTGAAAATAAACTACACAAATATATATATGCAAAATCATTCTTACATTAAAATAATAACAATAATGTGTAATGAGTAAGTACTATTCAATAGTACATTTCATATATTGACATTATTTTAAAATTAAAAGATGCATTTATTAATCTCCTTTAAACTACACAATATATATGTTCCAGGAAAGCTAGTAATGAAGTAGATTTCTGAAATGACTGAAGTTATAAATTTGAACATCTACTTTTCTGGAGGAGAATGGACTAATTTTAAAGTATGAAAGAAATGGTTTAAGATTGTGCTCAAATCGATGAATGTTGGATTTTATGTAGATAGAAGGGATTTCTTAATCTTTCAGAGCAATTCAATTGCATTCAACAAATAACAAGGGTCTACTGGATACTGTGAGGTATCATAAGATAAATAAGAAGTGGCCTCTTGCAAAACAGTAGGGAATATAAGATAAAATTTCGGACAAAATGTGTTAAGAGCTGTTAGAGCATGTGAGTGAAGGGAAGGTGAACTAACAGAAGGTATTAGAAAGAGTGTCATGAAGCAGCTAATACTTTGTTGGCCTACAGAGAATTGTGAGAACTTTTGCCATTCTGAAGAAGATGAACTTCGTTTTAGGAAGTGGCTCTGAAACCTTAGGATGCAAAAGACTCTCACATGTGTGGGGATGGAGGGGCTGTACCATTTTGCATCAGTTAGCTATTGCTACAGTAATGATGTTTAACAAAACACCTCTAAATGTAGTGACTTAAAATAACAACCCCTTATTGTTTCCCATGATTATTCATATTAGCTGGGCAGTTATATTAACCTAAGCCAGGCTCAGTTGATCTCAGCTGAAGATCAGCCATGTATCTGAGATCAACAGGTGGGTCATCTGGGGTCTGGATGGACTGGGGTGATCTCAACCAGTAGACTCTATCTTGCTTCCTGTGTTCTCTAATCCTACATTAGGCTACTCTGGGCTTTTTCTCCTGGCACTTCTCCTAGGATGGAGCTGAATGGCTCATGAGCCCTGTGCTTAGAAGTGACACATAGGCACTTCTGCATTCTATTGGCAAGAGCGTCTCAAGTCAGGCACTCAGGGGATGAGGAAATAGACCCCACCTCCTTATGGGATGAACTGCGAAGTAACACTGTAAGGGCATGCACAGAGAAAGGGGAAGGCTAGGTAATCAGCCTAGCATGGAGGCTTCCTCATTTTGGTTGGAATACTGAGTAGGTAGAATGGAGTTCTCTGGATATGCCGTCTAGGGTTAACATGATATGTTTGTTTCAAATTTAGGCAGTAGTTAGAAAGTAGTGAAGGGTTTTGAGCAGGAAAGAAGCATCTTCAGAAGTCTGACTTTAAGAATAAACTTGTGTGGATGTGGAGTGAATAGGAGCAGAGGGTAGCAGAGAGTATCTTTTCCTTTCCAATCATGTAGAAGTTAATGAATGTTCAAATCAATGTGGTGGCAATGGGAGGAGAATCAAAAAGAAAAGTAAGAACTTCCTTATAAGGACTGTTAGGATAGGAGGCAGGAGGGGTGAGTAGCATCTTCTTTATGCTCTTTCCTTTTTATAACAAAATCAGATGTACACCACACATCCTATTATTCCAAGTCAGAGTTTTCATATTTTTGCTGTCAATTGTCATATGATAATAGAGCATTCAAGAATTGGCAGGACATAACAATCATGCAATAGATGTGGACCTCAGACCCACTGCTTTGATTGACCATTCTAATGGAGCTAAACTTTCTTATCACACCCCAGACTGAAAGTTTTTCAAATATTGAAGCTTTAGTTCATTTAGCAATTTTTAAAAGTGATTCCATACTTCCATAGATCTCAAATTTTAAAGCATTTATTTAAAATGATATAAGGTTGCACAAATATGTTTTCAATTTTATTTAAATCAAATAAAGCTGTGACTGATGTGAAGAAATTTGCATAGAAACCACATGAATTTTATTGAAATAAAAATTTAAAGACAAAATCCTAATTCCTAATTATCTTATCCTGAAATAATTAAATGCAAAGAATATACACATTAAATGGCCACAAACATGTAAGCATTACACAATGCACATAATGGAGTCATAAAATATTTTATACTGCTTTATTATAAATAATTGAAAACAATATTTCATTTTTTAAACCCAGATAACAAAACAGTAAATATCATGCTTTCTTTTTTTTTTTTTTAATTTCATTTTATTTTTGTACTATGACTTGGGAAATAGTATTTCTTATCAAAAGACTGGTTTAAAAAATCTGTAGAAAAACAAAAAAACAAAACACTCACGTTCATTCACTTAATGAAAACAATCAAGACGGTTTTTGGAGAGAGAGGATAAACAGTACTATGAAGAAGTCACTGGAAAAAGAAAAACTGTATATCGCCTGTAAATATCACATGTAAGGCAAAATGAGGTTGTATACACAGGCACAAATATATAAAGACTTGATGCTAAGTTTTAAAAAATATTCTCTTAAAACTGTGAATAGCTCTATTCTCTCACATGGAAGAGAACCATGAAGGCACAATAGATGAAGTCACCAGGTCTGAAATTGGTAATGTTGCCTTAAAAAAAAACAAAAAAGCAAAAAACTTTTTTTTCTAAGAGGACACCCAATTGAAATACATGTATTTCAATTTTTTATGTCACAGTAACTCATGTTTTGATAAAAACTGTTCACTATTGTAACCTTGAACACTTAGAATCAGAAAGTACTTCTTGATAAAATACTGTAGTAACTTCAAATTGCAACAAAAAATATATACCCCAATTCACTTAAAAAAGATGATCCCATGGGCATATTTTCATTAAGAGATTTACAGCAGCTAGCAGTCAGAATTTTCTTATTAATATGACTCTATGTAGGTGTGTGTTCCCCTTTTGTATAATACAGAGTTTTGCCAATTTTTTTCACTAATAATAATTTTTAAAAATCAGAAACTGGCTAAGAAAACAGGGTCTGAAGGAGAAAAATATAAAGAAATAATGTACTTCGTAAAGTAGTATAGTAAATTTCTTTGAAAACTTGTGTTTATTTGCATCAATTAAAGAATATCACGTATTCCAGATTAAACAACTATTAGGTTTACCATGGATATAAACATGTTATGTACAATGATATTTATAATTTCTTTTATTTTTCATAGTCTTCAAAATGTGTCTTTTATAGAAACTGGAACAGGGTAACTCTGAAAAGCATGTTTCAGTTAATTAGCAAAAATTAAATTAGCATGAAATAATAGGGTGAAGAATTAAAAATCATTATTTTAAAAATAATGAAGTTACACTTACGTGTACACATGCAAGAAAGTACTGTAAAATAAACTGTTCCAGTTTACTTGGTTTTACTTCAACTTCATACACTCTAAAAAGCTGCTTTCATGTATAATATCAAAGGAAATATTAAATGCATGTATATTATTTTAAGAGCTTGATGATATATTTCACATTCTTTCAACTTTGCTCAGGCTATAAATATATTTATGTATCAGTCAGTCAGTTTTTAAAGTAAATGAAAACTGTAGCATGGAGGGGATAATTTTTCACCTTATATACCCATACTTGATGACGTCCATTTTTTTCTGAGAACCATATCAAAAAATCAAAGAGTAATGGAGCATGTTTCTATCTCACACTGTTATTCTTCATGCACTACAATTCATCATGGTTTAACAAAGTGGAATTTATATTTGAAGATGGGTTAACTGAAATCAACTAGTAGGTATGAATTAGGAATTAAGGCTTCTGAAATCCATTAACATTTAACCAACTCAGAGGGCAATGCCATTCTTCCTTAATTTTTATTAAAACTTTGCAACAGTGTAAATTGTTAGTCGATTTGCATAGAAATAACACCATTTCACTGGTGTGATACACCTTTGCCAACGGATTATGGCAGGCCTGTTTCTATTCTTCATGTATATTCTTTTAGTTGTTGGTGGTGGTGGTGTTCATTTCTTCTTCGGTTTTACATAAAATAAACCATACTTATCATCTGGCTACCACAGTTCCAAAATAAGATCCAGTAGTAGTTTGAAATGCAAAAAAAACTGAGCAGTTTCTTCCCTTTTTAAAGTATGACAGTAAGTGGCATTCTCTGCAGTCAAGCCACATGAGCACGGGAACCCCAAGCAGGGACTTTTGTGAACTCAAAAGGTTCCAAATCCATAGTCAAGAACCTTGCTGATTTCACATAACTGCCACTTGTTGTGGGAAGGGAGACAATATTTTGCTTCAGAAGTTTTCAAGCAGTTTCTCATCTGGTAGCTTCTCCAGATTTCTTTGTTGTTTTCATAATTTCTTCTGACACTATGTCTTCAAAATTCCAAAGGTCGAATCATCATAGTTGTGGAATGTAAGGAGTAACTGGGCCCTTTGAAGTAATGCCACTTTATCCCATTCAGTTTTCCAAGGTTTTGTCCCGCTGTATAGAACATTCCATTTAGATTGGATGGACCACAAGCATCAAACCACCAGCCTGAAGAATTGGTTAATAATGAAAGAAAGAAGAAATAATTACAAATAAATTGAACATTTAGAAATTAATGACATTAACTGAGGGGAGAATTTACTCATACTTGTTATGATCATTTACAAATGAGGCATTCAATACATATCTTCTCTGTTGCAGAATTGCTATAAACAGCATCCGATTTAGGCAGTGTGTGAACAGAGAGAGGAATGCTCTCATGGGAATCAAATTTTGGTGTCACTCTGCTGGGACACAGTTCCCATTGTAATGATGGGAAGCTTCTAGGCTTAGAGATATGATCTAAGTTGTGCTTGGATTTATATGTAATGCAGATACCCTTAAGAGGCATTCCACCTTAAGACTGTTTTTGGAAATAAAACAATTAATTGTTAGGTAAAACAATTAATTATTAGATATCTAAATAAAGAGGTTTTTCCATCTACTCGTAATTTTGCCAAGAACTGGCCCTCAGCTGCTTCTGAAATTAATTGAATACTGGGCAATGATAATGATGCTCAAATTGAATTTGAATTACTATGCCCTCTCTGTATTTCATAGGAATATGGGAAGTGTTTTTCAATAGTAGCCATATAGTTCCTATGTAGCAGTGTATTTTCTGTGATTGTTCAAGTTCTTTCAAAACTTTGTAAAGAGAAAAACAATTTGATCAGTAACATAGGGATCCTATGCTTGCATTGCTTTCTATAAGGATATCTCAGTACTTTATTTTTCTAATGAATTAAGTTCTTAGACTTTTAGATAAAACATAGCACTTTTTCTTCCCCTCCTGAAGTAGTAACACCACTGAAATCTTCAGGGACAGATTTATGCCAGAGACATTCTGGCATATTTTTATTTGGATACAGTTGACCTCTCTTTGATTACAGAGTCATACTTAAGGGACTAATAGCTAAAGAAAGAAAAAGCTGTACAGCTGATGTTCAACTGTAACATGAGCATCATCTTGCAGAAACTTTAGAAAAAGTTAAATGGAGAAAAGCTAGTTCTCCTTTTTCAATTTTGGAAGAGGAATACAGCTGGGTTGTGTTTATAAAGTCATACTAGAGACATAACAAGCTACATTAATTTCCAATTCATACTGGTGAATAGTAAGGTATGTTGATGAATCTGGAAAGATGCTGTATTCAATGCTGTTTTATCAACTGTATGCAAACAACACAGACGTTAATGCAGTCAAAACAAGGGACAACCAGTTCTTGTTTGGCAAGGAAGGAGGAACTGTAAAATTCCACTTTGTTTTTAAAGATTCCTTTAAATTTTTTTGATAAGTATGACTAGAGAAAATATGTTATTTGTATTACAAAAGGTATACTAATACTAGAGAATTAATTTACCCTGAAGATTCTCAAAGAAAAAATATAAAACCCAACTTGATTGCTTCAGTGTTTTAACTTTCTTCTCCTTTTCTATGACCTTCCTGAGACATTCTTCCATCATGTTAATGAGCCTCTCATAGTTTTCCAAATATCCACCATGATCTCTGAAGCAAATTCAGTTACTCTATCGTTGAGAACTATTAAAAATCATAGAATGATCCTTCAAGATATATTAGGGTCCTTTGGGTAAAAGTGTGTGGTTTTGTCTGGTTTATAGAACGTCACAAGAGTTCTGGAAGATTGTGGGAAGGCAGAGGTCTATTGCAAGAACAGCCTGGAAATAGAAGGCGCAGGCCAAAGGGCGCATTCATTGAGAAACTTTGGATAAACTTAAGAAAATGACAAGAAATATTAGGGGTCAAATCAGATAAACTGATCCTGTGAGGGAATTAGATAAATCAATCTTGTGTATCTTTTCCAATGAATAAAGTGAGGGTAACTGTGGTGAGGAGAGTGGCATTTTGGAGACATTGACAGATGACTTTATGGCTGGGTCAGAGTTAACTAGAGAAATAGTAGTCTGAAGCTGAGAAGGTCTAAAGACCAAATCACTGAGTCAACTGTTCATTATCCTAAGAGCAATGGAAAGGTGTGGTCTACTTATTGGGCCCTCTCACATACTTAGCTACTTATTGCTGCACCTAACAGAGTTTGCTTAACGAATGACTGGCAAGTGACCATAGGCTTATTGGCAGATTGACTGACTTTGTTTCTCCTCATAAAGTCTCTATGGTCTGAAGCAGCCTGGTTTACTAAAATGTTATATTTGATAACCACCCCAATATATAACATCCATGCTTATTGCATTCTTTTTTTTTTCTTTGTTTATTCATCCAATATGTAATTACTATGAAGTATTGTCATACAATACTCAATAAGACAGATGTGATCCCTGCCCTCCTGGAACTTACTTTTAATATAAGAAACAGACAAAAGTAAGCAAATAAATAAAATACAAATCACAAACAAAAGAAAAAAAGAAAAGAATGAGGGAGCTCTCAAGGATGATAGTGGGAGATCTATTTGACTTTTCACAGTCATGGGAAAAGCTGATAATTAGTGAGACCTGAAGGATAAGAGAGAAGCAACCATGTGAAGATGGGAAGAGACTCTTCTGAGCAGAGTAAAGCACAAGCCAACATCATGAGGAAGAAAGAGAGCTTGGAGCATTTAGGGACTAAGGGAATATGAGTGAAGCTGTTACAATGAACAAGGGGAAGACTTGCAGGAATGAAGGTGGAGAAGCAAGCAGCCTTGGTGGAAAACTGAATAGTGTTTATAGAAAAATTTATAGTTTATTCAGTCGACTCGTCCATCGTCAGGTGGACAAGTAAGACATTTTCTAGGAATGGGAATGAACATTTAAACAGGAGAACTAGATCTGTCAGGTTAAATGTTTAATAAAATATTTAAAGTTCCCATTCTATAACTATGGTCTGCCGAGGCCATCCTGAGCATATGTGGCAGCATGATAAGGAGGCGAAAAATGAATCTAGAATCAATTAAACAAATATTAACCAATGAGAAGAGTTGAGTAAAATTCCTGATTTTGAGAGCATAGTTTTGTGTAAGAAAGAGACAACAAACTGATTTAAAAAAATGAGATGATAACTATTAAGCAGAGATGAAGAAAATCTTAGAAACAGAGACAGAAGTTACTGTGGATCCATAAGGTCCACTCATTTACAAACTGAGCTGACTCCAAGGATAGTGTCTCTTTTGACAGAAAGAGATTCTAAAGACTATATGTACTCTGAGAGAGCAGGACAGAGTGTCTGCCAACAGTTTGGGTTGGTTGGAGTGACAGATAACTATTAAGCAGAGATGAAGAAAATCTTAGAAACAGAGACAGAAGTTACTGTGGATCCATAAGGTCCACTCATTTACAAACTGAGCTGACTCCAAGGATAGTGTCTCTTTTGACAGAAAGAGATTCTAAAGACTGTATGTACTCTGAGAGAGCAGGACAGAGTATCTGCCAACAGTTTGGGTTGGTTGGAGTGACAGCGGGAAAGGGATTGGAAAACATAGAGTGCGGGAAAAAAAAAAAAAAAACAGGAGTAATAACATACAGATTTTTATTATATTTTCTTGTGGGCAATGGCAAGCCTGTGAGCACCAGATCAGAAATCAAATTTGATGTTGATTTCATCAACTAATAACCAAGAGATTTTAGGCAATAGTATTTGATATTTTCTAACAATTAACATGTATTAGGGACTCTGCTGGAATATTTATATGCATTTTCTCATTCTATTCCCCAAAGAGCCTTATGTGGTATGTGGCAAGTACCATAATAAAGATACCAATGCTCAGATAGTTTAAGGAACTTTTCCAAGGTCACACAGCCACTTAGCTCTTCACTCATAGGATGTGAATTATAAATGTCTGATCAACAAATTTCACAGCACAGTTGCAGATATCAAATAAGATAATGCATGATTAGGGCCTGTAAAATCCTATCTCGGTGCTTCATGTAAGTTATCTGTTAGATCTTGTGGGGTATCAAAATGATTAAATAATGAAGATCAGGTCATCATGCCAAATTATTTCCTTATTTGCTTGGTAGGGTTTATTAAGGAAATATGAAAATAATTTAGACCCAAATGTGTATAGCTGTGCAATGTTTGCATTGTAAAGATGTGGCATTTAAGTACTTAACATGGGTTTTGTTCCAATGATTTGTTTTGATTTCATGAGGAAATCAAAGAACTTGCAGTGTCTGATTATCTCTTTATCTTAAGACCAGTGGGATGTATGTGCTATGGACTATCAGAGAGTAATTGATAATAAAGATGATGAACTAAGGTGGCAGGAAAAGAATGAAAGGGCAATTATTTCTCATGACAATTTTGGTTGTAGTGTCCTTTATAAAATATTCTGAACTTAAGGTAGCAAAATAGTTTTTTTCTGTGTAAGCAAGTATTCTGCTTTCTCTGACACATTATTGAAAACAAACAAGAAATTTCTTTGTATCAGATATTTCCCTCTATTCATATGTACTTCTTGGCATTTGTAGATAACCATATACACTTGCCGTACTCAGTACATGTGAAGGTCTACATGGGATAAAGGTGTTCTCTCTGAACATACAGAGGGCTATGCCTGGTTTGCACTTCCTCTCTGATAGGATACCAAAGAGCTGAGTTATATACCCTCTACAATCCTGGAGAAATGTTCACTTTGTTTTTTATGTGCCTGGGTGTAACAAATAAGCAATATGCTAAACGAGTTAATCTAGGAAAGGCACTTTAAGTTGAAAAGAACTCAATGATATAAGCAAAGGCCTCCATCTGCTGTTGGGACAACTGATAAAATGTCTCAAATGTTTTAAGATTGGCAACTGCTGAGATGTACTTTGCCAAGCATTTTTCTTCATAATCTGTAACCTCGTGTATATTTTAATAAGAAATCTGAGATGCATGTTTCTAATTCATTTACACTTAAAACTCATTAAAATTTAGTTTTGTAATAACTATCCTGGGCCTCCCAGGCCTTTAAAAATCATTCAAGTCTTTTATCTTTGAAGCAGAAAATTCACATTTTATCACCAATAAGTGAAACTTTGCCCAGAAAATAGGAATTTGATTCTAAACTTTGTACTCAGGA